TAAGACGATACAAAATGTATTTCCAAGGAGTATAATATTTTATTAATATTGTTCTTCAGTATTATTTTAGCCTAGGTATTGTTTAAACCTAAAATTGTAACTAAACGAACTTGTATAGCTTACAATCTTAAAACTAAACACCCTTCTTTAATTTATTTAGTTTTTTCAATCATAATTTAAAAGTAGGAAGGTACATTATTATTTTGTATACCTATTTGGAGAGAATAATATTGAATAAAAACTAAAGAACTTTTAGAGATAAAATATAAGCGATAAATATATAGGTACATAATACATAGGTACATTTTATTATTGTGGTCATAAATTAGAAGAATACTTTAAAACAAAAACCAAAAACATATAATACACTTTATTAATATGCTATTAATGGTTTTCTTTATTTCATATAGTTACTAAGTTGCATAATAGTTAGTAATAAAACTAATTCATAAATCGTAAATGTGTTTTAATAATTTCATTTCATTAGACCCGAGAGGAGTGGGTGAATGGGTGTGTATAATGTTATGGACAGGAAACAATAATAATTTGAAATGAAAAAGATGGCTTACAGTATTGTCATTTATATTTAATATACATACATATAAAGATTATTACGATGAGCACGTTATTGATCATTAAACAAATACAATGCAGTTGTGTCCTGTCAATAGCTCTGTCTGATCACATCAATATGTTTTTTTTTTGTACACTAACAATGTAATAAGTACACTAATATATCAACACTTAAAATAGCTAGAACGAATTTTTAATGAAATAGCTTGATAAGAGTTCTTATTGCTAAGCATAATTTAGTTTCATTTTTTTAAATGTTTTTTCAACAACATAATAATATGATGGTATCTATAATATAATATTTCAAGTATATTTAATTACAATCGTTCATCAGATCATAATAATATGTTTCAAACTGTTACATTATATAAGTTAACAAAACAATAGTGTTGCATACTTGTACCTATACTTAGTACCCACCTATATTGCACACAAAGTAGCAAACTAAGGTAAATCTAAAATTTTAACAATATTATATTCTTATAAAATCTTTGGTAATTAAAATTCTAAAAACAAGTTTTAAATCTCTTATTTAATACCTTATGATTATTAATAAATAGTAATAAAATGTTTACTACCTACAATGAAATAATATAGGTAATATTGTAATTGTTTAAGCTTATTAATGAAGCTTGCTATATAGATATTTAGTACTAATTAGTACGCAACATTTCGTCACTTCGACAATACGGTTTTATGTCCTATTAAAATATTAGTAATTTCTAACGAATTATCTTTACAGGCATGATCTAATCTTACTTCTAAAAAATTGTAAAAATAAAATCGAAACACCATTATTATCCCCAATATTAATAGAAATTAATGTTGAGTATTATTGTAATTGAATTAACTTAAAATCAACAATTAACAAGTTTTTTCTTAAAAAAGAACTTGGGAAGTCACTCGCTGTATTGAAGGTGTTAGGTAGATCACTGTAATCTTTATAATATAATGGACGTGTTCAATTTGAATCATTGCACACGAAAAACCACTCTGAGTAGACTGTCAGTCGTCCTTATTTTAAGAGTTTATAGTATGTGTCTAAAATTATATTTATATTGTTATTAGCATTTAGTAATACTGTAGGTCTAACTAAATTGTTGGCAAAAACAAATCGCATATATTTTATAATATTAGATACCTACTATCTGTTAGTAGCGTATAAGTTCATACCGACTTATAACAGTGTAAATAAACATTCCTAAAAGTTTGTGCTATCAATAATCAATTTTTTAACATTTTGTTTACTGTTTAGTAAATATTAATATTATACTATTATAATTAATTATTATAATATCATAACATATCTATTATCGGTATAAAAAAACGTATTAACTTTTAAATAACATGTTTATGTGAATAGATCCGTGGTATCTTAAATATTTTGACAATGCCATTGTGTAGGTACTGGTATAGATAATAAATAATAATAATAATATACATACTGGCAAAACGTTTCAAATTCTTAAGAATAATATTTTTTGAATTTCTACAGAATAACCGAAAATACCGCACATTTCGACACCCCAAAGCACCATTGTACAAACTTAAACCCACAAGATCCAATATTCTATCAGAAACCACTATCAAAGCCTGATATAAAGTATCGACAAAAATACTTTAAAACTCATCAGTCATCATTATAAAACCCTCGGTAAAACCAATACATTCATCGGATAAATATAGGTATATTGTATACTTTTTTATTAATATATTTTTATTTGTATATTATTTTGATTCCATTTTATATTAATAACTTTTTTAATTGTATTTCTATTATTTTAACAACTATTAACAGTTTTCACTAACATTTAAGAATGCATTTTTTTTTTATAAAAAAATATGTATAGGTATGTACCAAAAATATTTAAAAGGCATAATAAGATCTAAAATTAAAACTGTGTTTCTTATAGAAATAAGCTGTTTTAGCATATGCGATTGCAAGTTTGCCAATTATCAATGGATGTAATCCAAAAATATAGTAATACTCGAACTGTAAGTTTGAAATCATTATTTTTGTTATTAATAGGTAGGCACACATTTACACTTACATCCATGAACCTACTAGAAAATGTATTTTTGTTTTATTTTAAGCTTACAAATAGCCTAAAAGATACCAAAAAGGTATTATATTATACTCGGGTATATAATTAATAAAAACATTACAATAATCGATACCCTAACTTATCCAGCATCTCACGGTAAACATAGAAATTACAATAACATTTAAAAATATTAATTCAACCATCAGTTTAGAAATAATTCAAATATTAAATTTAAAAATCATCTGATTACGGAAGTTTGTTTTACTTCTAAGGATAGATGGTATACTAAATATCCGTACACCTATAAAATACGAGTATGTAAACCTATACGATATATTGCAAAACAAAAAGAAAAAAATCAATCGTTCTGAAATCAAACCCATCCATAACCCGACTTAAAGCCTTTCTGAAACAGAAATAATAAATAATGTTGTGGACTGTGAGACCGTACCTATTATAGAAAATATATCAAAAATAAAAATGCCGAATACCACAAAAAGGTCTTCGTAAAATCGTAACCGTAGTGACCTTTATAATGGAAATGTTCACAGTTCACCATAACTCATAAGAAAAATTTTCTCAACAAAAGCTGACCTTTACCTAAATCTCAGTTTATAAGATCCGATTGAAAACCCGCACAAAATGTTTAAAGTCTCCACACGGACACGTCACTATTCATGTTTAGATTCAGACTTCCAGTGGAGGCGACGACCTGCAGATAACGCTTTAGGGCACAGTGTACCTACGTGCGTAATTTGTTGAGAATCCAAACACGGAGGATGAACAACTAACTGGTTTTCTGACTACTTTTTTCAAGGGGCGGGGAAAGACATTGAAAATTCACAAAATTAGGTCAATTGGTCGCGCATCATAATATTATAATACGGCGGAAGTATCATTTTATATTTATTAACTATCTTAATTGTCTTATTTTTTCATGGCCATCTGTCATTATCAGTATATATCGCATTCGTAAATCGGTTAATTTTGTGTGTTTCTTTTTAATCATATTATTTTTTTTAACACTTCCGACTCGTGGATAATAGTGGGTTACACACTCACACACGAAGACGGAGGATTTACTTAAGAATTTAAATTTAAAATATCCAGTCCAATGAACTATTTGTATATTTTATGCATATTTAATATGATTTTTAGGTACTAAAATATACCCCAAAATTGAGTGGTTCATTAAGAATTTGGAAACATTATATTTTACTCCAAATGTTCTTAATCTTAATGTTGAATTATTTTTTTTTTATTATTGAGTAATTTATTTTGAAACATTTATAAAAATATATTATTTTTATTTAAATATTACAAACAGTTGTAAGATTAGCCGCAAACATATGTGAAATATATGTTAATTTAACCAAAATTGTATCAGAAATAAAATACCCATTGGTGTAAATTGGACCTACTTACAAATCAAGCATTTGAATTACTTTTGTTTTTTTTATCAAATATCATTATATTAAGCTTTCAAAAATAAGCTAATAATCTGAAAAGAATACATACATCTATGAAATATGTATCCATTTATAGTCTACTTTGTAGTTCTACTATTTGACATATAAGGAGAGAATAAAGATACAGATAAAAATATAAAAAGATGACAATAAGACACAATTATTATCACTATCATATTTTGACCTTTGACATACTTAAATGGACACAATTAATATTATAACTATCCTAATGAATTCTTTACTGTCTCTCGTTTCATATGTCTGATAGTTTAAATATATGTATATATTGTAACAATGTTAATGGACTCTTATTAAAGTGTTATTACATTTTGTATCTAACTGTCAAAATGGTTAATTGCCATGGTATATTATATTCCATTATTATAAAGCAATATTGCCCAGATTATCTAGTAAAATTAAACGGATAACCTGATAACAAGTAAACTGTGATGTGTATAGACAGTTCAGGCTGCCTACACATTTTGACGACTAAGTATAAGTCATGTAGATGACATTAATGAATGACTTATTGTCATTAGTACATTTCTAAATAACAAATTAAAACTTATTAAAACCTGTTGAAAGTGCATGAGTAGTAACTATTGGATAGAAAGTATGTTGTAGAATAAAGGCTTCAATGCTAGAGAATGCCAACATGGCTATACAAGTCATGATGTAGTCATGGAACTTGAAACCATTACCTACAACTGGTTGTCTAATGGTAGTACTTAAACGACACAATGTGCAGCTATAAAGATCTCCCAGATCTTATGATGAGGAATGGTCATAAGTGTGGATTATACCATTCGGATAGTTATTTAAAACAGGTGATAGCAACGTCATACTCCCTACAAGTTGCATAGACTGCAATACCGTTGGAACAGAGAATGAAGAATTGATAAAATCGACTAACCTTCGATGCATACGACGTGGTCCCTGACTTGTTGGGCGACTATTGGATCAGGTATGAGCTCGATGAGATCATAAATCGCGTAGATGGACGGGTGAACGCTCTCAAACCGCTGAATTTCCTTGCAGATGGCCAGCGAATTATTGGAGAACGGTGAGTGACTATGGTAGTACGATGGACGGCCGTTCATTTTTCTGGTCACGTCGCGCACATCACTCTCATTAGAACTAGAAACGGACGGACGGGCGGACGAATCGGCAAGCAACGGAATCACTTTGAGCACTTCGAAAAGAGGTAACTAAAATATCGACAAGCAGAAACGGTAGATTGCTGCTGTGACAGACGCGGATCTCGTTACCGTCGCCGAGAGAGTTTAGCGGGCGGTAGCGGGCGACAAAAGCGATAATAATGTGTATTACTAATATTTAGAAAAAAATTAAAGGTCGAAAAGCGAAACCACCGCCGATGACTGCCGTTCTCGACGTGCGATGGTATCACACCAACTCAGAAGCCAACGGATTGTAATCAAACGCGCGTACAAATAAACAAAACGCTATCTCGGACGAACGTGTTGTTATCCGTGTTTACCATTTTCGTGTTCCTTCCTCTGCCCCCTCTTCAACAAAAATGTACATCGAATCACGCGCACGCGCAAACAATTGCCGTCACCGAGTCCGGTCCGCCGTAGCCGACACAGACAGATGTCGCTCTAATCGTTCCGAGCAGTTACCCGCGCTGTTTTAAATCTCCTCGCAAATGGCTAATTCATCATTTTCCATTCCCATTGTTTCATCATAACTCCTTCTCATATTTTAAAGTCGTAAATCATCTTTTTTTCATTTTATTAAAAAATTAATTTTACTTTATTAGTATTACGGAAAGATAATTTAAATTCGACAAAAATGTATTTTAATAGTATATTTAATATTATATTTATTTTATTTTATACAACTGTTAGAGCAAGGTTGGACCTATCCCTAAAATATGTACAGGGAAATTCTATTTTTAGCCAACCCCTCTTTTTTGACCATCTACTATACTATAATTTTTTCTGGTTTTTCATCAATTTCAGACATAAATTCCTTAAAAAAACGATTGAAATAAATTTTCTTTCATCAAGATTATCACCTCGGACTCCCAGTTCAATATATAGTTGGCGGGAGTACAGCCCCTTTGTTGCTACGGCAAACCAGAAAAATTACCAATTTCCCGGTTGGCTAGTTCAACTCTGAGTTTGAGTCAATACCACCTTACCGTAGAACGGTATAAGTAACTTTGAAGTATAGATAGGCAATACGTTCCTGGAAGCAATGCACAAGCAGTCCCCGGAGTGTCGTAGGTTCAAAACTGAAAAAAAAATAAAATAGGCAATACCTTAAAATTAATCGAACATTTCATCGTGTATGTATAAAATATAATAATACACGTCAAAATGTCAAGTCTCCACGAGGCCACGAATAATATTTATGAATTAAAACCAAATCACTAGAATTGTTATTCTTCATTTAAAGATCTGCAGAATAAAATTTATAGCTTAATTTTATCTCACGTCATACGGCATGTTTATGTGTATAAGTGAACGGAAAATATTTATACGATTAATAATTTTTTCCCAGCCTTGTTATTATGATTTCGGTCTATAAGATTGAATATTATAAGGTTAAATAAATATTTTAAGTGAAATTGTAGCTCCACCCTCCCGCTCCCCAACTTTGTTCTGGATTTTTATTCTGTATGGTTGGACAAGCGTTGGATCAAAATAAATCACACACGAAATCCAAAAATTTCAAAAGCAAACAAATAATTTAACCCCTGAAGTTTGCAGCGCTTAGGCTAAACAATTGACACCTAAGTCCCAGGGTTACTCGGTATGACTTATTCAAAAAAACTCTTTTTGATCTCGAGTTCGATATTACAAATCATTGCAATTATCTCGTCCATCCTTTCGATTGTATCGTTGAAATTTTTATGCAACCGGAACAATAATAGTAATACTCATTTTTTTTTCTTTATTGACCACGAATAAAAATTTGGCTTCAGTGATGACTGGGCCACTAGCATTACATAATATGTCATTTAAAATATTAGCCCTATTATAGAGTTTAAATTTTTTAATAATACGATGATTGAAAAAAACTCATAATATTTTAACTAGTTTTATGTAAGTAGGAACCTACCTAATTTGATATTTTATAATTATTAAAAAATAATTGTTAAAATTATATAAGTAGTTATTACAATATTAATAATTACCTAATGTAACCTAACAAATAAAATGTGGCCCATTTACCGACCATCCAAATGTAACTGATAATCTTTTTTGTTACTTTTTGTGTGCAACCAGTTTTTTAAAAAAAAAAGAAAATATTTTAAACTTTATATACGAATTATAATCTTGTTCTTGTTCACGTTAAGGATGTTAGGAATTTATAAGTTGTAACTGATGTTTACTTTGTATTTTACCTATGTTATCCTTATGAGAAATGCTTAAAAATTAATTTGTTTAAAAAATTATTTGTGCTTATTTCTAAGTATAGGTAGTCAATTATTAATATGTTTATGTTTTTGGGAGCATAAAGTGTAAGTGCATATTTCAAGTCGCGAACTCTTTAGATAATATACTAAAAATCAGACAGCGGCAATATTACCCGAAAAGCCGAGTTCCATACTCCCATTCTATCATTTGAAAAGGAGCTGTTTAAATGCAAAGATTGAATAATGAATACGATTTGATGTTTCAACATTGTAATAATTATAATAATAATAATATAACACACAATAATCATATAACGACACGAGTTTTTACAATAAGAAAACCGTGTCGAATATAATAATAATATGATCGTTACACGATATAATAATATGTATTCCCATAAACATTCATAATGTTAAAAATGCATAATAATATCAAAGGTTAAATAATAATACACAATTTATAATTTACTTAAGAGTTAAGACTTTCCGCCGCACCACCAAACTGCAGCGAGTATTATATTATCATATTAATATATTATATAATATAATATAATAATAATTATATCGTAACGTTTAAAACACCCTTCGAACACACATTATTTAAATACGTAAAAAAAAGGAATCATCAAACTCGCTTATAAAGTCATTAACACGCTATATTATAATAGGTTTATTCGCTTATAGTATAATATTATAATATCATAATGTTCTACACTGCTACGGTTCCGAATCCGGCGCAAATGTCACGCACGACAACCCTATATGTTATATTATATTCCCCAGGGACGAAAAAATAATAAAAATAAACGATGAAATAGAGTGGATGGGTGAGTGGTGAAATAGTAAATTCGATGATATGATGCAGCGGAATAAAATGATCATTTACACGCTAATAGGTAGGTAGTTTGGTTTGGATTCTACACACGTCCGAACGAATCACGAAAACCAAAATCAAAATGAGAATATTGTCAGGGGCACTGTAATAATATAAATAATAATAATTATGGAATAAGTTGGCGACCGGGTGTCGATTTGTTTTTTAATACAGCTGTAACTTCTATTAATCTTGAATTTTTTTCTTTGCACTGTTTTATTTAATTGCACAGTTGTATTACTAAAAATACAGTTTTATATGTATGGAAAAAAAATACCAAGACCCAACTTAACTCGAAATATACGGCACCGGAGTAAGCGGGATTTCGGTTCGATGAAGCACCGAATTGTCGGGAATTTTATCAACGATACATTTTATTTAGCTTCGTTATGACCTTAAATATTAGTTCAGACGTGTGTTTAATACCGTTTCTGTCTCATGACCTTTTAAATTTAACATTTTAAGAATATACTTGTATAATGTATTTTTCAAAAATAATAAATATTATATAAAATAAAATCGTTATCACTAAAAATTAAATTATAATAATATAGATTATAGATACCAACCATCTATATAATTTATATTATTATAATGCGAGTATTGTATATAACATATAAATAGGTATTCGATGTAAGCTGTAACTGATATTATACATAGACCTATTTAACAGGTCTATGATATTATATAATATTATTTTATTAATTAATTTTTATAATATAAAATATTAACTCGAGTCCTAAATATAAATATATAATACATCCACAATAATAATGCTTTATTATATAATATAACGTTGAATAAACAAACTTGTTGTTTTCACAAATCTACGAACAATAATTATTATATTGTAATCTAAATGTCTATACCTTACCGTTCTTGTATTACAAAGGATTATATTTTTGTGTCGGAATCGCTATTGTTATCCTTAAACACAATATTATATTACGTTAATAATTCAAAACATATTTTATATATTATATAGGTAGGTAATAGTAGTGTAGTACACGATTATTATACATTTATATAATTCTATTAATATACGATAGTACTAATAATCAACACATAAATAAATCACACGCCTTTATGTAAGTATTATAATATAATAAAACATTGAAAATTAAAACAAAAAAAAATCCATTGAAAACTTAAATCTAAGTACAATTTATAAACCATATTCAATAGTAATATGATAAATATTGTATTTCTTAAGTACCTAAATAACACATTTGATATACATTTTTTGGTATTAAACAATAAATATAATAAACTCATGTCATACAAACTGCAGCCTTCGGAATTAAATTTCAATTTTTTTTCTGTCCTTAATATTGAGTAATCGTTTGTGAATTTGGTTGATTATTATTATTATGCTATCTATGCAATCTATACAAAGTGAATAAGCATACAATATTCAGCCATTCGCTTCATATGATAAATATAATATTAATTCTAATGGGTTATTGTCTTAATCAATCATTTATGCATCGTTCGTAACGACGCGATGCCTAATAAATATAATATATGACTCGTAATACCACACAAAATGGTAGTATGAATCTATGATACACACAAATAGAATCAATATCAATTTATATTTTATGTTTTAACAGCCCAACTTTAATTTACATTATATTATATTATACCCCTATGTATCATCATTATAATATTATATAAAGTCTTGAAATGTGTATTTGAACTGAAATCATCATAATCGAATTAGAAAATATAATTTTTTTTGTTTGCTTTCACTGACACTTTAATCCGAAATCGCAGTTTCGACGAATGAATAAATTATAATACATAAGTTATAATCTAGTATACATATAATGCCTGTGATGGTTTTTAAAAATCGTTCAACATTGCCACTCGGGTTATTTTTCAATATCGTAAAACGAAATTCTATATTATTCAACAATTATACTAGTGTAGGTAATATTATATTCCAATAATTTTCCTATAATTCCTATTTATAGTTTGTGCTCACACGATTTCTTTCACACTAAATTATTTCATGTTAACTATTAATTAAAATATCAATTATTTATCTTACTTTCTCTCTCTCTATATATATATATATATATATATATGTACATAAATATATATATAGGTAGTATATAGCCATACAGGTAATATAACAGAATAATAACATTAATACATTCATTGATTAATAATAATGCTAATAGTCTCAACATCAACGCAGACACGCACACGATACGCGTTATTCGTATAATATAATAATTATAGGTAGGTAACAATAATCAGAGTTATTATTTTATCATTATTATTAATATCAGCAACACAGTATGTATAAAATACATACCATGCGTTCAAACATATATTGTTTACATGTACAAAACACTTATCTAGAAATTATATAAAAATATTGTTCCCCGTGTGAGGAATATCGTGGAAGTATGAGTTTTGAAAAATTTGAGTATATACGACCCGGCACGGCCATCGCGGTCGATCGCCGCAGGGGATTATTCAAATGGATGACAGTAACACACACGCGCGCACACACACAAGTAAGTGCATCTCATTACTCGCTGCATGACTTGTTTGTGATCTGCTAAATGCGTCACGTCCTTAGGCCAGGGTACGTCTACGGCATACACAATGTATTTGGAACATATATGACTTGGTATTTAAATATATTGTAATTCAATTAAAAATTAAAATCGTCGAATACTCCATATTATACACACTATATATCCAATATTGTATAGGTACACAGTGCCGCTATCGAGTGGCGTTTGACGAGAGACGATAAAAAATCGGTCGGCGAAGTCAGCAGGTACATCGTACATGTATACATAAAATATATAAACAAGACCACCCCTGCGTCACTTTTTCATCACCGATCTGAACGCCATAATCGAATATATAGGTACACATTTTAATTATTAAAAAATGCGAGCATGCGGATTATCGAAGACCAACACAATAGTTGTATATTCGTTGTAACTTGTAATATATGTGCGCATAATACTCGTTATTGTTATGTTTAAAGATTTAAAAATTGTTTTCAGGGGTGCACCCAGGCATGGTACAATCGAGTGGGGCCTTTCGACCAAACCTATCATCTGTATCCATATCGGCTACGCAAAATAAATCTCGGGCAGTGCGAACACCCTCCCATAACTCTACCCCTGCCCCGACCGTTACGACAAGACGTGACGACAAGCCTTTGGCTGACTAACGGTCTCTCCGCGAGCAAAACACATTATATTTTATTACATTATTATAATAGAGAATTTACATCACTTCACCATATTATGCAGACACGCGTATTTAGATCATTGAATTACACAATATACATGGTACGATAATAACATTATTACACATAGTATCGCTCAATAAACATTTCTTATCATACTCGCACGCGCTGCCTAGACGTTTCATCGTGTCCCCTGTGCGTTACTTCCTTCCGGACGTTGTAGAAGCTGTTCCGACGCATCGACTGTGGCCGCCGCGGGTTCCGGACAATTTCCGCTACCTCCACTGCTAATCGTCGCAGCCGAATGATGGACCAGAGCTCTGTGTTCGATGCGGCTTACCGACGACGCTTTCGACTTGTCCTTAGAGTTCAACGTGGTCTGGCTGTTCCTGGAACATTCGTCCTGCAAGGCACGACAAAATGATATCAATAACATATAAAATTAAATATCACATCGTATAGCTGCATAATATGCATATCGATCCGTGAAAATTGGTATTAATAACTATATTATGTTAATTAATTGTATATATGTGTAATAGTAAATAGATGTCATATAAACTCTCAAAGTTATTAATTAACACATTTGATCGGAAAGTAAATTGGAGGTTCAACACAGATTTGATGCGAAATGTCTACGGATTTTGAATTTAATAATGTTCAGTCGTACAGTGCATGTTTAAGCGGATTTTGCAGGGTTTATAAATAAATAATTAATGACTAATATTTTTTACCTTGATGTGGCTTAAAATATTCAACATTTTGGTCTTTGGTCTATTTTAAAAACTTTTTACGTAAAAACAAACTTAATAAAAAAATTTAGATTTCTTTAATTTTTTTTGGTTTTCTCCGTGGTGGATTATAGTAGGTACCTAATAAACTTAAAGAGTTTTAAACAATTTATAATCATAATTTATTTATTTTTTAAAGTTGTAGGTATATGATTACGTATATCACTGCATATACCTAATATATATTTTTTTACAACCCATATTCGATTGAATACTTCAACTTTTGTAAGTGCACATTTTAAAGTTTTACTTTTTTAGCGCTTTAAGTCTTGAAACTTGACTAAGTCCCTCCAAAAATTTCACATGTGCACATGAAGCTATCATCTTGGTATAAAATATTAATATCCTGTAAGGCTTCAACCACCCAACCCCTCTACAACTCATAGTTTTTTCTGGCTAGCTACACCAACGGCACTATTGGCACTGCTGTTTTTTCATCTCAATATAGGTACATAATACATATGATTGGAAATCGTTATTTGACCCATATAAGTATTTTTTTAAGACCTGACAAATGTCTGTGGGCCATCGATAACAATAATATAATATGTTGTATAGATAGACTTATAACGGATTTAACATAAAAACATTGAATGAGCGTTTACATAAGCGCATGACATTTCTCAAATTGTCTCAAAAGTCAAAATTGTTGATGATATATTGTATTATTATGCCACTTTAAACAGTTTAACTATAAACATTATTATTTATTTAATTATTTCGCATTTGAACTATAATAATACGTACATTCAAATGTGTGAAGTTCGATTCAACAAATTATTATAATTACCCGCAGTCCACAGATCTAGAATTGGCCGGCACTTATTGTTCGGAGGGCTTAATAAATTGTATTGATTGTATTATAATACAAATTTGATCAAATTAAATGTAAAAGTTTAAAAACTTAAATAATTATGTTAATTTTGTACCCTAGCTGTAATTAAATTACAAACAGTTTTTATCGTTAATTAACCAAACCGCAACCTCAAGGTTCAATAAAATATGCAAAATACGTGATCTTAAAATAAATTCAAACCTTTGGGAATAATTAAATTTATGCCGAAAAAGTATTTAAGTCAAAACTATACTATAATTACAATTACTGTTTATGTAAAAGTTTAAATGTTTCAATATGGCAATATTTAAAATTACATTTTACAATACATACATGTAAATAGCACGAAGGCCATACTTATAACAATGAAAATGTAATAATTTATGTTTATGTACAACTTCCTTTTACCATCGTAATATATTATAATATAATATGTAACCTTGAATTTCAGTTATAGGCTAGGCGACAATTCATTTTTACGGCATTTACTTCAAAAGCAGAATAAAATAAAAATAAATATTCAGGACCCATACTGGCTGTAGATACTACACAGCACCTAAATATAAAACGTAATTCCTGACTATAGTGAATAAACCTTTGGTCCAGACGAATCATATATAACACAAATTCGTTCAACATCATATTTTAGGGGATTTTAAGATGTTATAGGTAGAGGTACTCTTCGACTCCACGCATATACACATGACGTGCGGCGTTATCCCGATACAATGAAAACCTGCTGTGCAATGTTTAAATAAAACGAATCGTGGTCAGAGTGAAAGGTATAATTTATTACGTTTTGAATTTGTTACGAAAAAGAAGACGTTAATAAGATGAATCGGAATTGTATAGAATATGTAGAAGAATACGACGAAGACAGCTGGAGTTTGAACAATAATAATACCGCGAATTTCATTTCGGATCGGACTTTTCGAGATGTACGTGTAAGTGTGAGTGTACAGGGAATGTTTTTTTTTTTATTTACTTTAGAACTATTTTGTATTAGTTGTTCGGTCGAACAATGACTAGGTGGAGTGCCTTTTGCTTCTCTGTTCTTTGTCGAATGCCTTCTCTGCTGGTCCCTTTGATACCATTTCAAGTTGTATGTTTTCACTGAAGATGTGCTGTGCACAGCTGGATCGCTGCCGGTGCGGCCGTAACCTATATATATCAAAAGAAAAATTGACAATTTGTCATCAATTGATGACTTAAGCATCGCGGCCCTCGGGGTGCTTATATAGTGATCGGCCTGCGTCTGCAGATGCATGCATATAATATGTTATGTGGACGCCGCGATACAATGTAATATAATAATATGTAGCGCATTGTGTACATATTATAATTATGCGCTGCTTGTATATTATGTTTAGGTACCCAATTTTTTCGCCCTTTTTGCCCTGCCCGGCGAGGCCGTTGGTGACTCCGACGTGGACGGCCGGCAAGAGATCAATATGAAAGCAGCTGCCCTGGCAGCTCCTACCCTGCTGGTCTCATCGTCTTTGGCATCCGACTGACCGGCACTGCTTTCGTCTTCTTGTTGGCCGTTGGCCGCCGCAGAGTCTGACGTCCCGTAATGTTTGCTCGAAGACGCCTCTGCAAACAAGCGACAAGATTTAAATGTCTCGGGAAAATATGTTTGCGACTCCTGCGAGACGGGCAAATGGAATCCACCACACATTCATCACACGACGTATACGCATTCATATATAGTTAAGAAATGTTAAGACCTGAATTATACACAGAACATTCATCATTTATTTTTTCTATCTTGAAATCTAGAGTGGTTGTGTGAGGTGTAGGAGCGCTATAAAAAGTTTTTACGCGCTAGCCGGACAAAACTGCTGCAGATGAATGCTGTCACTGCAGGGTTTTCACTATTATGTGACTGTGTATAGTTGACATAATGAAGTACTTCAGGAAAGCGTAGCAACTGCAATATCAAAAGTATTCATAATAATAGCTAATAATTATATTACGTCCAAACTTTCAATCGTATTAAAAGACTAGATAATTAAATTTCAGATGTTTCGAGTAGTTTAACAGTTCACAGCTAACTATATCTGCTGTAACGTTTTTGACATCGTAAACGAAAGGCATATAATGTCAAAAACTTTACGAAAATTAATGAAAAGCAAAATGAACTAAGCAATTTTCAAATATTATATCTCATATTAAATTTATATAAAACAAGGTAAAAACTGCATTATCTAACGACAATTGCAAAGAAATGTGTTAAATAATAACATTATTTTTTTACTGTGGTTTCAATTGTGATTATTTATCAATATATCTTTGAAAAATAGAATAAATGCACAGTAAGAACAATGCCATTTATTTATAAAAAAAAAAATTATTTTTACATTGGTCCGGATTATGTTGAAAATTCCAAGTACCCGTTATCATAACTATGAGGCCTATAATAGATAGTGGGGCATGTGGAATAACCTTGAAAATGAGAATCGAGATAAAATTATTGAATTGTGAGTTGTTGTATAATAACGAGTAATCACTCCAATAATTTTTGTTGTACTTCAGTACTTGTATCACACTACTCAATATTCATACTGACATCTTACATCCAAACAATATACATGTAACTGTATATAAGTGAATCGAGAGTATTAATTAAAATATATACCTACTATGATATGTTTAGTTTTAAAACGCTCAAATAAGATATTAAAAAAATGCTACTAAAATATTATAATATACCATAATACTGTTCTTCATTTCCTGAAAATCTCTAGATTAGAAGAAATTAGTATAATGTACCTAATACTACCTATCTATCGTTAAAGCCGATTACATATTTGACATATTTGATATATTTTATGTTAATATGTATTATGCATTAACGGTTTGCAGCTGTACATTATTATTTATACAAAAATGTAATTGTATATAAGTTTTCCATGAAATGTTATTCGATAGACGGTTCGATATGAGTGAGTGTACGGCTAGTAGAGGTACCCATACCGAGCAGGTACCTATATAGAGACATATTATGTGTAGACAACAATACAACAACGCAACGGTTGGCGTGATGAATGGAAACTCATAGAAACGAAATAATAATCTATGAGGGAAAAAAACGCTGTTTACCTATTTTACCCGCGAAACGAATAAATTCAGGTCTACGAAACGGTGGTGACGAAGTGGGAAAAAATAAATAACAGCCGAGAGAACAGAGCTGATCGTACATCACTGTCTCCACCCCCGCCCTTTTTCATCGCAGCGACCCCGACCCCCATTGTACCTCCCCGACCGTTTACAATTACTCGCCCCCGACACAACGGCGTGCGACGGCGGCGATATAGAGTAGTCGTACAGGCAGGGCACAACGCACACACACGCACATAAAATATATTGAGTATATATGTGTGTGCGTGTGTGTACCACTATAAATAGTGGCGATTGCTGGTCGTTGGCCGATGATGATCGTTGCCACTACGTGAGAGGGTTGTAAAGACGCGTCGGAATGGTACAGCTCATGAATTAATTCACGCAGGTAGACGCACGTATAATACCTACGCCAATCCGTGTAAATAAATACATACGCATCTCTATGAACACACATTATACAACCCATATATACTACCCACCTATAATACAGAGTGATCAGCAGTGTAAGTACGCGTGGGCTGTTGTAGGGGAGGGGAAGACGTCACGGCCCACCCTGTATGCTGCAGTACGTATTTCGTATTATATACACTGTATATATGTATACACACGAGAGGTAAGCGGGAAAACCAGGTGGTCTCTTCCCGACCGAGTGCTCCCCTCCCCTGAGTCTTACCCGCCCTCTCGGCGGGGGAGGAACATCGACCACCCCCCTCCCACATCGTCGACCGACGCGCGCGCGCACACATACACACAAATACACACACACACACACCCGTCACGCCAAAAATCGATAGGAGGCGACCTACTAGTTTGACGTGAGCACAGCAGCTTGTTCGGATATAAGTTGGTGGTCGGGAAATGCCGGGGTCTGGAGGCCGTGGACAGGCGCAGCCCGAAACAGATGAGCGCCGAGAACACTAGCAGGCCGACCACGACGCCGAGCAGAGACGAACCGCCAGCTTTGCCGTCCGAATCGTCTGTAGGATGACAACAACAAACACAAACCATAATAATAAATAATAATAATATATTATACACTCGTATACGAAAATATATCATACGATTATATTATAATACGCCTACGATACGTCGTACTTCACTTACTCACTGACTTATGTCCTGCACTACATTAAAATGCGTGCTCGCACGTGGCTCATATATTTTATAATATACATATATACCGACGTACCTTTTAAACATAAATCATTTTCGGTATTCGTCTTCCATACTAGTATCAGGTATATTACATTATGACCATACGAAATAGACTTTACGTAGGTGTATATAATATTTTATAATAATACACTGTACATAAATAAAACACGCACCTTGGGCGCAAAAACTGCTCCTTGCGTTGGTAGGCCTGGAAACGGTAACGATGTGGTAGCCCTGTTTGCACTTGCATATTGCGTTGTGGTCCACCTGTGCGCACACCGCGTGCTTGTCGTGCAACTGACACGTGTCGTCTTGGAAACACTGTTCTCCCAACCCTACAATCACACAGATGGAACTAAATTAAAGTATCTATTCCCGTATTATACGTATATAGAGACAGCAATTTTGAATTTTCCATAACTAAGTTAATTTAATATCGAATATCTTTCTCGGTTTTATGTTATATTGTACAGATAATATTTATTACCTAATATATTTGAATTTCCCGCCCAAAATAAAGTCTTATGTAACTGTTGACCTAAAACCTATTCCTTTGTACGAGAATCAATTGACAGCTGAACGCCTACTGTATAACATATAAAACGTGAATATATATTTAACGCAATATCTATTTTGATTGAAAAAATAATACATGTGTATAAATGTACACGACAAAAATAAATTTAGGTAGGTAGTATACTAGTATGTACCCACTATTTGGTACACACTATAATTATGCGATGACTGGCGATAGTACGACCTAATAATTGCATTTTTATATCGCAATTTAAAATGCATTGTTCATTGTACATCATAACTGCGTTAGAAAGAATCATTGTTTTGTAACGTCCTGAAAATTGAAATCATGTTGATCAATTTTAAAGTATCGAAATTTAAATTTAGGCTAAAATAAGATAGTCATTATTTAAATATATTAAGTATTTCCCCGTTGAACTGTATCACCTTAAATGTTATTATAAATTCAATTTTACTTTTCAATAAATGTAATTTATATTTATGTACGAACTAAATTTACAAAATATTAGAGAATTTTAATAAATTATATATTTTTTCAATTAATGTAGGTACATAGGGAACGTTTGCTCTAAATTCAAACACAAAGCAAAGTAATATAAGACTTAATTCAGTCATAAAATGAATAAATAATAATTTTATAATCAAATTAAAAAAAAATAATTTTCTTTGAATGCCTAACTAATTTGTTCTTGAAACTTGTAAACACATGTTAGATTTTACTACCAACAAAATAATTGCTCCAATATCTCATTTAGATATTTACGTATAGATATCTCTATGTTTATGTATATAAAAAAAATCGATATTATTTTAAGCAGGCTATAGTAGTTTAAAATGTTCTCTAATACCTACATCTTAAAAGATATTTAATAGAAATGAATCAAAAAAAATTAAATAAATTATAATAATAAAATTGCACAGCTTTATTAATTGAAGTAATAATATTAAGAAATATCAAAAAACAATTAATACTATTCATGTTATTAAAACTTTTACCGATTATTATTTTTGTGAAATGTAGTTACTAATAATATAAAAGAATCTTTTTTGTCATTATATTAGTTTATTTATGTAATATTTTATTTTATTTCGTATTTCTAGTGTAAGTTAATAATTTTCTGAATCTAACACAAGTCTTTCTCATAGAATAAAGTAGATAAATATTTTTTTTATTATTTCGCATGTATTTTATTTATTGTTTAATAAATGGTTATTAATTGAAAAAAAGGATAATATACGAAATAAAAAAGAAATTATATTTTAACATTTATAATTATTTATTTTAATCCATTGAAACCCTCGAATTTTTTTGCTTATTTATGGGCATATTTATCATTATTCATTACAATTAATATTATACCTTTACTTTGTTTTACAACCAGTAAAAACGTGTTGGAATGTACCTACTAAATTGATCAGTTAAACCTAATTTTTTTATATGTTTTATCATTATAATTGTAAACTCAAAAAAATAAAATATAATATTTAAAAGAGTTAAAATTATAAGTATTACTTATATAAAATATAAAAATTAATAAATGAATGAATGAATAAAGTTATAAATATTTACAACAACATATACTGGTTACGCTGTACCTAATTTCTAACTACATATGTATACTGTATGTTAAAGATTCTGAGCAGAGTAATGAATTTATTTGTTTATTGTTTAACAGCATTCATTTTCAAAGCTAATATGATTATCAAATCTTCAGTAGTGATCTCAGTTTACATTGTTTTAAATTTTCACACAAAAACAGTTCAAAAACAAAATTTAAAACCTTAAACTTCAGTTAAGTTGTAGTCAATGTTTAGTTTTAAGCAATTTTACAAATTGGTGATTCACCAAACAGTATTTTAGACTTTAAAATGTATTAATGAAAAATTAATACAAATACAACACGTAGTAGGTATAATATTATGTAATCACGTATCAAAGTAATTAGCATAAAATGCAAATTATGAATTTGTTTAACATTAGAGACCTAACCGAACATGGCTTATAATAATATAATGTTATATGAATATATTACAATTTACAATACAAATAAACGATAGATGATAATGTTAATTGTTAGTCGTAACTCGTAATAGCTAAATAATATTGTTTATATTGTTATTGTACACGCACGCGTATCAAAATTGCCTATTCAATGCGCCGTTGTACAGCTATTATTATGTATAGTTAAAAACAGCCATAGTAGTTACAGCCATTTAAATTATTGTTTAAAGAGTTAGGAATCAATTAAAATGTACACTTCACTATAATATATATAGTTACGATAAATATATAGTAATAACGATGAAATATGTTTACTGTACCAAATTACAAGACACATGAGTTGCAATAAGCGAATGTCAATGTTCAAAACAATAAAATCTAATATTATTCAATCATCGGGCGATTTGTTTTATATTAAATTCCTGTTTTTGGAAAGATAATAATATCGTTCGTAAAAGGAAAAATGAATCATCTATTTGATATTACTACGTTTAGGCTGCCACGCGTGTTTATTGAAACTGTGCAAAACCCTATGTATGTATATGTATATGGTGTATAAATATTATGTTCATATGCGTACCCTGTGACGTACACAGATTAAACAGTTGCGTCAGTTGGTGCCCGTTGGCTTTTGCACATCGATTTTCTATATATTTTATTTTCATATCCCCTCGTTCTCGACTTACACTCACACAAATGTTGTACATTAACGTTCCCAAACTCAGGTTACATTGATTGCTCACGAATACTGTTCTGCAAGGGTGGATATTCGGTCTTTGTAATAAAAATAAATGCCAAAAGGAACAACACTCACCCACACTCACACATTTATTAATTTATAAAAATGTATACGGGACGAAGCGGAGGCCAGTTGATTTTTAATATTGTATTTCATTATTTCTCTGATTGATAGGACAATAAATTATTGTTCACACAATAGAATATAATATACACTGCTTTATTTTAAAAACATTTTTACTATCATTAAACAGTAATTTTCACGATAAATGTTTTTTTACTCGGTTAGTTAATTTTATTACATTTTAAAGTTATAAGTATTAACATTTTTAGTTGAACAATGTGACATATATTAGTTCTTCATAATGGTGGTATATTCATCTAAGCTTTAAATAGTAGGTACTTAATTTTAATCAAAGACAACTTTACTGGTTTGAAATTTTAGAAAATAGAATCGGATCGTGAAATTATAAATTAATGTTATTATTTAAAAAAGTAAAAAATTACAAATTTTCAATGATTTATTCAAATAAGATATGTAAAAAAATGTAGAAAAAGATTGTTAAGTGCACTCAATATGGGTACCTATATTATATCTATAACACTTTTCTCTCGGTCTTAAATGTAAATGTCGCAAATACATAAATTCTAGCGAAAAACTTTGCCTACTCTCTCATATAGTCACGTAAATATGTGGAAAATGTAGTTCGAAACATTTTGTAACAAAAACAGCGGGGTAGTAATATTCTAGTAATTACGTTTTATCATTTAAATGGCGGAAAATCGTTTACCAGCATAATAATGATTATAACACTGTTAAAGTTTTCTATAGGTACACAGCAATAATGTATATGGACTATAAAATATCAACATATGTATACCAACGTATAATTATGTGCGTGACGTGACATGCAGTTTAACGTACATTTTATCGATCATTGAGTATTTGATATTATTGAGCACGAGAAACTTATGTTCAAATAACATAGCTTACAGGTTCCTGATGAAAAACTTAAACATAACATAAATGTATAAAATATATACTACGCTCATATATATTTAGTGTTGTAATAGCTTATGAATAAATAATAATTTTAAACGGATTAATTCATAATTTGTAATAGTTTAATAAGTATTAGGTAGGTACCTATAAAGTGGTGTAGTTAATTTAAATTTAAAACAGAATACTTAATTAATAATAATAACTATACTACTTCAGGTAAAGTTGATGGATATATTAGGTAGTAGGTACACAAACCATACAACCAAAACACTACATTTCTATAAAATATTTAGAGAAACTATAATAGACCTTTATTTACTTATAAAAATGAAAACTTATAAATTATAAGATGTAACTACTAAACAACTAAACGATTTTTTCAAAAATATTTGTTGGTATGAATCAAATCATCTATTTTTTAAAATTTTTTTTTGACTTACTATTGTTTTAAATAAAAATGATCACGAAAAGAAAACAATTTTTCAAGAAGTCAATATATTTTATTGTAGTTTTGCTCATACTTCGTACCAATCAAAATAATATTAATAATGTTAGAATCAAACTAATAACAATATCGATTTAAATTAAAAATATACCTTACTAACTATTAATTACTATATTTTGTAAATTTTGTTTGTATTTGTGAAAATAAGCCCCAATTATTTATTAATCTACCAAGTAATTCAACTCAAAAAAGATTTTCAATTAGTTATTTGATAAAAATGTATCTAAATAATTCTATCCAGCGAGAGAACAGCACGACGAAAAACGGTCCTTACTCTGTGCATCGCCATTCCCCACGTGATACCCTGACATAGTGGAGCAGGTCTCTATCGCAGGGTGTAGAGTGGCGATGAGCAGAATCGACATTTTTTCTCGAAATCATATTAACCATCATAATATTATATATTATCAAATGTACAATGATTATTAAATGTATTTCTATATTACTGATTTGGTCAAGAGGGTGGTCAACAATCTCGACTCGACAACTATTTAAAGTAAATGCTTAAATATGGTTATGTACCAATAAGTATATTTTGTTCGCTGTTATA